AGTTTACATGAATTATTCATAGTTCCCATATTGCAGGCAAGTTTTTTTTATTAAATTTGATCATAATAATAGTTATTACCCCAGTCATGGCAGTTTTATGAGTCGTCTTCAATGCCATTACCTGGAAAGATTTCAATCAAGAAATATAAAAGATGCAAATCAATTTCCATAATAAAATTAAACTGTACCATCTACTCCTTCATTCCAGCAATAGAGCTGATTGACAGCCTCTTCCTGATAGCTGGAGCAGATAACATTCAGATAAAGAAATGGAGAATGGCAGATTATTTGCTCTTAAGAATTTCAGTGGCTTTTTCTTCATTGTTAATATTTGATGTTTGCTAATCTCACTGGAACATAATATTTAACTCAGGGTCTGTGCACAAATTTGCTTTCAAGCAGAGTATTTTCCTCCCTAATACTAGCTGATTTTCTCACGTAGTTGTGCTTATAACAGAAGAAACAGTTTTGAGTGCTATGATACTGTTTTCCTCCTAATGACAATGTTACCTCATTCTGTACAACAAAAATACTACTTTGGGGAAGAAAGAGTAACTAATTTGGTTCCAGGTATCAATTTTTTAACTAAAAAGATCATATTTTTATGGGGAAAATTTTCTCCTTAGAAATATATATGTATATATATATCAGCTCCTGCTTTCACACAATGAGAGGTGTTAAGCTGGACTGTAAATTTGCAGATTTAGATCAGAAATTTTTATGATGAGAGGTCATGACAGCTGAGAGCAGAAAAATCATTATGAATATATGCATTATATACCCTGGTTTAGAAGAGAGGGTCTGAAGCCCTATTGCTACCCTTACTTCTTCCTCAAACCACCGAGTGACTAGACAGGTGATGGGAATAGCACTCCCCTAATCCCACTCCTCCTAACATGTATCACAGGATTTGAGTAAAATATGAGATAGCAACAATGATATTTTATTAGAAAGGCTCTTCAACATTCTTTAAGGAAACGGGACCAGAGATCTTACAATCTAATTCTTTCTTGTTCTCTCAACAAATAGTTCTCTCTCACCATTAATAATTAGCATTGGCTTAAGATCTTACATGTCTTCAGCTTAGTCTTTACATTTTTCAGAACTTCTTTCATAAATACATCCTTATTGTAAGATAGTGTTAAAAGTTAAGTAATAGAAACAAATTATTTTTTTTTAGTGAAGCAACACAGAAAATGTAAAGCCCAGGTGGCAGCAGTAGGAATAATCAGAAGTTCTAATCACACCAGCCCTACTTGTCTTCCATGCATTAATTTAACTTTACTTCCTATCTGATAAAAGATAGGAAGATTGTCCATATATTAGTACTTATCACTGTAAATAGTTCTTCATTAATTGTTTATGTCTATACAATACCATAACTACCTTCCAGCCACACATATTGGATATATATCCTATGTCTAGAACAATGACCAGTATATGCTTACTGATCTGAATAATCGACTGATGGATATACTAGTTGCAGACGTAAGCAGCTTCCATAATTAATATATGTATTCCAGAAAGATCTCTTTTAATCAATAAACAATTTTTCCTCTTCTGCTATATACAAGACATAATGTTCATTTCTGTAATGTATGGTGTGTTCACATTTATGCTGTTCATTCTGTGGTTTAATAAATGTCATTAATGGTCTCATTCATAAAGCCATGAAATTAATTTGAATTTAATTATTATATCTTATGTTTACAGAATAAAAGTATATTTTCCAAAAAATGGCTAACATGACATACACATAAGATTTACATATAAATAATTTGAATATAAAATTCTATACACTTAAAACTCACTAAAAATAATCTTAATAGCAAATTTAAATAACTAAATTTCCTGTGATGCCTGCATAGCTCAGTCTCTTGATTTCAGCTCCAGTCATGATCTCATGGTTCATGAGATGGATTCCCACATGGGGTTCTGCACTGACAGCATAGAGCCTGCTTAGGATTCTCTCTCCCTCTCTCTCACTCTCTCTCAAAATAAATAAGTAAACTTAAAAAACTGAATTTCTTTCAAAGCTGTGAAATGTGAGTGACAAAACTAGATGTCATATTCCTAGTATATAAAGAAAATAAAGAATCAAAATAAATTATGACATTTGTATTACTCATGAAGTAGAGCCATTAGATAGGTGACTGAGTTCAGAGACAATTCAGCTGTAAGGAGATTTTTCCTATGAATACTGTCCTTAAAGGAATCCAAATAATAATAACAAAGATAATAATAAGTGTTACTACAAAGTTATAGTGATTAACAAATGTGGTACTAGCATAAGGATAGACAAATAGATTCATGAAAAATACTTCAAAGTCTAGAAAAAATAAACCTTACATTCATGTCCAATTAAATTTTGACAAAATGCCAAGATAATTCAATAGTGAAAAAATAGTCTTTTCAACAAATGGTGTCTAGACAACACAATATCCACAAGACCTCATCCTGTAACACACATCATATACGAAAATTAACTTATAATACATCATAAACCTAAAGTAAGAGGTAAACTATAAAATTCTTAGAAGAAAATAGGAATAAGTCTCAATGACCTTGGATTCAATAGGCAATAATTCAATAGGCAATAATTTCTTATATATGAAATATATAATTCAATAGGCAATAATTCAACAGGCAATAATTTCTTATATAGGAAACCAAAAATCTGAAGCAATAAAAGGAAAAGGAAAAAAGGTGAATTAGACTTCATCACATTTAGAAATGTTTGTGAACACAATAAATTGAAAAATGGGGGAAAATATTTCCCACTTGTATCTATGATAAGGGATGTGCTTCCAGAATAAAGAAATCTTACAACTCAACAGTAACCAGACAAATAACCTAATTAAAATGGGAATGGATAAATAGTCAGTCTTTTTTGCAAAAGAAAGTACACAGTAGGCCAGTGAGCAAAGGAAAGATATTCAATATCATTAGATATTAGAGAAATGTAAATCAAAACCACAATGGATACCATTTCACACTCACTAGAATGGCTATAATAAAAAAAGATAAGCAGTGACTAGTGTTAGTAAAAACCTGGGAAAATTGGAACCCTCTTATATTCATGGTGGGAATGTAAAACGGTGTAGCGCCTCTGGGAAACAGCTTAGCAGTTCTGCATAAAGTTAAACAGAGAGTGACTATATGACGAGAAATGCCATTGGTATATATTATCCAAGAGATTAGAAAACATTCCCATAAAAATATGAAAACTCACAGCAGCATTCTTTTTTTTAAACATTTATTTTTGAGACAGAGAGAGGCAGAGCATGAGCTGGGGAGGGGCAGAGAGAGAGGGAGACACAGAATCTGAAACAGGCTCCAGGCTCTGAACTGTCAGCACAGAGCCCGACGCAGGGCTCAAACCCACGGACCACGAGATCATGACCTGAGCCGAAGTCAGACGCTTAACCGACTAAGCCACTCAGGCGCCCCAGCAGCATTCTTCATAACAGCAGAAATATGAAGCAATTTAAATATCTATCAACTAATGAATGGATGCATAAAATATATCCATACAATGGAATACTATTCAGCAATGACAAGCAATAAAGACTTTTACATGCTATAGCACAGATGAATCTGATATCATTATGTGAATTTATTTAAAAAAATTTTTTTTTTAATGTTTTATTTATTTCTAGGAGAGAGAGAGAGACAGCGTGAGCAGGGGAGGGTCAGAGAGAGAGGGAGTCACAGACTGAAACAGGCTCCAGGCTCTGAGCTGGCAGTCAGCACAGAGCCCGACGCGGGGCTCGAACCCACGAACCGCGAGATCATGACCTAAGCGAAAGTCGGATGCTTAACGGACTAAGCCACCCAGGCGCCCCCATTATGTGAATTTAAAAAGTCAGTGAAAAATGACCATATATTGTAAGATTATATTTATAGGAAAAATCCAAGAAAAAACAAAGAGCAAATGGAACAAAAGAAAACAGCAAGCACTGTGATAGATTTTAATCCAACCATATCAAAAAAATATCACTGATGTAAAGATGTCACTTACAAGACTGAGACTGTCAGACCAAATTATATGCTGTCTAAAGAACCTCACTCTAAATATCAAAATACAGATAGGTTAATAGTATTTTTTTTAATCTGAATACATGAGTAATTTATTTGTATTTGAAATTGCTATCATAACCAGTAGCTTCAGCCCCATATAGTTTTTTCTTTTATCTTATATATTAGTTTGCTTGTAGTTTATCATCCCATTATTATTTTTTTCTTGAAAACTCATCTTACCAGTAGGATTATGTTTTACAGTGTTTTGTGTGTATAAAAAATAGGATGGGACATTTGTGGTTAGTTATGAGTTTGTTTAGACTGATGTTTTTTTGTTTTATCATAGAGTTGACTGTAGTTTATTCCTTGAAAATGGAAGTTTATGCTTATTAATAAACAAATATTAAAAATACACATTTAGGGGTGCCTGGGTGGCTTAGTCGGTTAAGCGTCCGACTTTCGCTTAGGTCATGATCTCGCGGTTCGTGGGTTCGAGCCCCGCGTCAGGCTCTGTGCTGACTGCCAGCTCAGAGCCTGGAGCCTGTTTCAGAGTCTGTGACTCCCTCTCTCTCTGACCCTCCGTGCTCACACTGTCTCCCTCTCTCTCTCTCTCTCCTAGAAATAAATAAAACATAAAAAAAATACACATTTAAACGCATAACAATCCCAGATCTTAAAATTTTTTAAATTTAGACACATGCACTAAATTATGTTTCTACAAAATGGTATCATCCCAATGTTTTAGTGGGATCAAAAAATTAAATACATACCCTGGGTCACATTTGTTTCTTTCTTTCTTTCTTTTTTTTTTTTCAAATTTGTATATTTTAGTTCAAAAGGACAGAGGATAATATTAACCAGTACTATAGAGGACCTAATTTGAGACGTTACATTTTAGGATCTCTTTATATCAATTTGTTGTTACTCTCAGGTTTTTTGTGTTTTTAAAAATTTTTTTAATTGCTTTCTTCTTTCCTCAGAAATCTGAGAGTGATCCAACTCCTTCATTGTCTGCAAAGTGCATTTCAAAGCTTCCTCTCCCTTGTAGCAACAAGGACAGAGTACTCAAAATATGAAGATTTTTGAATTACTATCCTAAATGTAAGTCATTATAAGCAATTTATTCTATTACGTATCATTGAGTGGCTTTAATATAAAAAAATAATCCTTATAACCATTATCAGCTAACACTATTACTACAGGCAATAGACAGAACATTTACTCACATTGTTAATGTTTGTTTTAATATGTTTTATATCTTAAGAAAGATATTCAGAAATAAATAAAAATTTTTAAAAATGGAAATTGAATCCTCTTCTGCTTATTGTTAGAATTTTTGTTTTGTTTTAAAACAAGATCTGTTACTGAAAATTTCTGATAGATAGTAAAATAAGCTCCTAAATTTTCCCTTTACCTGACATTTCTGTGAGGATGTTTCTAAATGAGAAATAAAATGAACTACAAATAAACAATAGCTATTTTCTAGACCAATCCAGTTTTGAAAATTTCTAATAGTTGATGTACCCTTTGTGTCTGTTCATCTGGAAAATTCACCTTAGTTTACTCTATGTATTTCACTTTCCCAGATATAAAAAGAGCCTCTGATGGTCCGTTCAATACCTGCTATTTGATGGAGTGATTAGCTAGCATTGAAGAAACATCTTGTGTCTGGCTGTTTTATTGAAAATGTTTTTCCTTTTTCTATGGGCAAAAATAAGTTAAAACAAGTCAACCTTATCCAAATATATTTTTATTCAAGAATCTCTGCAGTTGATTTTATTTTTAATATGTATAGAATTGCAGATCACAAACACAAACACAAACACTTTGCAAAGAGTTACTCAACTAAAACACTTGTTTTAGAAGAAAAAAGAACTAAGGGATAGAATACCTAAATCTCTGTGAACCCCATTAGTCATGAAATAATGTTATCATTTTATACAGAAGTCAAAGTATAGACACATAACAATTCGCTGATGAAACAAAAAAGTAAATATGTAAAGATTTACTTAGGAAGCTTCTGAAAATGTAAATATGTTCCCAGCAGAATGTTTAATGTACCGAGAAGTTTGCCGATAATCACAACCAAGTAAAGTTCTTCAATATCTGTATTACTTCTGACCTGGATCATTAATAAACCAAATATTCTAGAGCTTTGTCAGAATAGCTTGGCTGAACACTTGTTGACACAGTTGTTTTGTTTTGTTCTATTGTGTTTGCTTGTTTAACTAACAAAGCAGTGCAAGCGAAATTCATTTACACAGGTAGAATTTTTTTTTAAACCAGGGAATGACTATGTGCTAATTAATATTAAGCAGAAGTGTTACTGAATCTTACACTATTTTGAAGACAAATATTTTAAAAGTGTGATGTTTGTGTGTTATGTGTGCATACTGACACAGCATCAATCAGTTCTAGGAAGCAACTAAAGCTTGAGGAAGTGCCAAATCTGTCTCTATGGTCACTGGGAGTATTCAGATTACAGGACTTTAGAATCCACTATTTACTCTACCTGATCAATCATCAATTTGATCTATTGTTACTATGAAACTACTGATAAAACCAACCCAGTTTATTATTTTACATAGTTAAGAGCTATAAACTGCCAATTAATAGGAAATATGAAATACATATTTCAGCCAGATCAAATTTTAATAAAAAATGTTAAGGGGTGGGGCGCCTGGGTGGCTCAGCTGGTTAAGTGTCCGACTTTGGCTTATAATCTCGCAGTTCATGAGTTTGACACCCATGTTGAGCTCTATGCTAACAACTCTGAACCTGGAGCCTGCTTTGGATTCTGTGTCTCCCTCTCTCTCTACCCCTCCCCCACTGACACTCTATCTCTCTCCCTCTCAAAAATAAACAAACATAAAAAAAATTTTTTTAATGTTAAGGGGTGCCTGGGTCGTTCATTCAGTGAAGCATCCAACTCTTGATTCTGGCTCAGGTCATGACCTCATGATGGTGGGATCCCACGTAGGGCTCCATGTTCAGGACTGCTTGAGATTCTCTCTTCCCCTCTCCCTCCTCCCCTCCCCTACTCTCACTATACTCCATCTCAAAATAAATAAACATTTAAAAAACTGTTAAAAGTTTCCTGACAAATGCTGACATTGTTTAGTGAAAATTTACTGAGATATGTTCTTTAGAAAATACGTACCTAAATAACTTGGAAAAGGAGATGGAAAGTCAATGGAATTGACAAATGATTCAGTGCTAACCATACAAAATATAATATAATATAATATAATATAATATAATATAATATAATATAATATAATATAACATAACATAATAAATATAATATAATATAATTAATATAATATAAAATATAATTCTGCACTAGAATGGAGAACCTGTATAAAGAAGGTAAATAACCCTCAATACTTTATTTAGAGAAAAGTTTTCTAATATAAGAAGGAGAATATTAGTATTATGAATACTATTAAGTATTAAGAATCTTAGTATTTTGGCATTCATCAAGAACTGCAGATTTCCAGTATGAGATTTTTAGAGGAAGCTCTGGCTCATCTAGTCAGAAAGTATTCAAAATTGAAATATTTGATTTCTCACCTTTACTAATATGTAATGCCCCTGATAATGAATAATATTTAGCTAATTAGCAGTTCTTAGTTTACATTATTATTCTACTTCCATGATTATCCTCAACAGAGGTAAGGAAAGCATTCCTATATTATACCAGTTATATAAAACATTCCTATATTATGCCAACACTATATTTTTGTGGAACTTAAATACTCATTTCAGTTAGGACACATATTTATCATGCACTAGGAGTCTTAGAGCCTTGATCAGCACTTATTCTTAAATATGGATTCAAAATAAGCCACATTAATGCAAAAAAGGAATAAATAAAGTGCATACTTATTGCACCATTTGAGGCCATGTATCTAATATTCTGGTTTGTGCAGTTCCTTCACACCATAATTAAACAGAATGTGGCATGTACTAATTGGAGACAGCGTATGGGTTGTATGTTGTATACTTGGGAGATGACATTTTTAGAAATGCAATATATGTAGGGACCAATAAGGATGGGTGTGGGTACTTTGTATATGTGCATATAATAATTATTAGCAGTAAAAGTGAGCTATGGTGGGAAAGACTGCGATAGTCTCTGTGGACGGGAGTTAGAGTTACCTGTGTCTTCACCTGATGGTAAAGCATAACTAATTTAGTGTCAATCAACCATCTCCTCATACATGGGGTTTCAATAATGTTAACAAAACAGGGTAATATGGGATAACAACATGACAATGTGCTATGTTTAACTCTGGCCAAAAACACTTAAAGCAACACCCTGTAAGAAATTAGATCAAGGTAAGGGGTTTCACATTAACATAATACATGAAAAAAATTGTTGTCTTTGGTTTGAATCACATAGAAGGTATAATCAAGTCTTATGTCCTGAGACAAAATCTGTAAACTCTACTATTCTAAAACATTTTTTTATTTTCTTTTGGGTTTTATAACAATTACTTTAATCCTAGTAAGAGTATTAGAAACAGCATAGAGCTAACAGAAAAAAAAAGAAAAATGAGAATTAAGCCCATGTGATGTTTGAATTTTAAAAATGATATATGTAAATAAATATTATTATCAATGCACTGACTTTGAGATCTTTTTATATTTTTGAAATATTCCAAATATTTTAATATTAAAAGTATGGTTTAACATTAAAATGTATGAATTTACTAATGTTTAGTGAAATTTATTTATTTGTGATCAATGTTTCATTACTTGAGATAAGTCATTTATGAAAAGTAAAACTTTTACTTTCCTATATATGAGATTAGTATACATTTTAGAAATGTATAGAATTTCTAGAATTAAATTAACAGACTAGCATCTAGTAAATGAAATGTTAAATAGATTACCAATACAAACGTGTTGAATATTCCTCTCCACATGAATATAAGTTGCCTGGTATACTTTAAAATATTAAAAACAATATGTAACATTGAAGAGATCAAAAGTAAAGCATTGTATACACATACACATATTAGGACGGAGCAAATATCTGATTCAAGGATAAGTAAACATTTTTATAAAAGCAATGACAACATGGCCTTGGTGATGTTAGGAACAATGTGGTTCCAGAAAGAATTACAACATACATATTTAAGAAGCATTTGTTCTAAATTCACAATTCAGGAAAGCATGAAATTATAAAACCAAGGGTAAAAGAACAAATAATAAAGCCATTCAAATAAGTGTAAAAAGATAACTGGATGAGAAGCAGCAGGCACAAATAAGGATATTTCATGACTCAAGTAATGAAAATAAAGAAAAACAATGAGATATTTCAAGTCATATTAGATTCAAAACTGTATAATCATCATTTGAAAAATACCATTATTATGTAAAAAGGCCAAATTGAGGAAAGCCTTCAGATTACAATGAAAAGATCAAAAATAAGATAAAATGAAAGGAAATTCAAATGTAGGAAAGGTAATATAAATTCAAATTATGGATTAATGGTATTTTGGAATCAAATAAATTCATAGAAGTAATAATGATATTTCATAGAAATAACCATCTTCTGCATTAAATAAATTCCTAAATTTACATATTTTCAAGTGTCAATACAGGGAAGATTAGTGGTTACTCACAAATCTGTTGGCCTTAGATTTATTTATAATAGCAAATGCCAGAAAAAAAAGAAAACGTACATATTCGAGATAATTTCAGCAATTCAAGAATTTGTGCTATTTTTATTTATGACAAAAATCAAATATGGTATGTAAGAGTCAGGATCCTTTTAAAAAGATCTCAAGGGGCACCTGGGTGGCTCAGCTGGTTGAGCATCCAGTATCCAACTCTTGATTTTGGCTCAGGTCATGATCTCAAGGTTCAAGAGATTGAGCCTTGCTTCTGGCTCTGTACTGTCAAGTTTAGGATTCTCTCTCTCCCTCTCTCTCTGCTCCTCCCCATTGAAGGGGTCTCTCTCTCTCACAAAATAAACTTTAAGAAAGTAAATAAAATGCCCAGGGTGCCTGGGTGGCTCAGTCAGTTAAGAGTCTGACTTCAGCTCAGGTCATGATCTCACGGTTCATGTGTTTGAGCACTGCATCAGGCTCTGGGCTTACAGCTCAGAGCCTGGAGACTGCTTCAGATTCTGTCTACCTCCCTCTGCCTCTCACCCATTCATGTTCTGTCTCTCTCTCTCTCAAAAATAAACATTAGTTCTTTTAAAAAGTATAAAAATAAAATAAAAATTTTTAGGGGCGCCTGGGTGGCTTAGTTGGTTGAGCGTCCGACTTTCGCTTAGGTCGTGATCTCGCGGTTCGTGGGTTCGGGCCCCGCGTCGGGCTCTGTGCTGACTGCCAGCTCAGAGCCTGGAGCCTGTTTCAGTCTGTGACTCCCTCTCTCTCTGACCCTCCCCTGCTCGCGCTGTCTCTCTCTCTCTCCTAGAAATAAATAAAAAAATATATAAAAAAATAAAATAAAATAAAATTTTTTAAAAAGATCACAAAAATAAATGCATAACAAAAAATTAACTCTGATTTTTAAAAATCAGGGTTGAGGAAATGTTAAGTTGCAAGTGATCTAGGGTTTAACACTTTCCAGCAAAAAGAAAAATGCCTCAATGTCTGACTACCTTCAAGCATCCATCAAGCTCAAAATAAGTGTAAAACAGCATATATGAAATCACCAGAATACCTATTTTATATGGTAAA